CCTTATAAAAGGGGCCAGCCGGCCATGTGCTCACTCTCTCTCTACACCCCCTCAACGACCGCTATACTCTCTGACTCTCATCCTTGTAGCAATCTGCTACCCATCCTACCCCAGGCTTTTAGTCTGCAGCTAAGGCCTACCTTGTGCTTTCTGCTGGTCAGTCTGCACACTCCATTTTCCTAGTAAAATCCCCATTTTTCTAGTATTCCCTTATTTTTCCATTTGGCAAGCTTCATCTCTTCGGACCAGGTAAATATTGTCAAACCAAAGAATATCCTGCTAAAGCAACTGTGTTAAGTATCTATCTTTATTTCCTAGCATATGTATAAGTGTGTGTGTGGTTGTGTATTGTTTGAATGATATATATATATCTCAGTAAAGAGACATTATATTTTACTGAATCCAGTCTCTGTGTCTGTTCAGATACTTACAGCAAGGGTGGGACTTCTGTATACATTGGTGAGAACCCTAATTTGCCTATTGCCAATTAATAATCATAACTTCACCTAGATTAATTAATAATTAAAGGCAATTTGGCTAACACCCCCACATCTAAGAAGCTGAGGAATCCGCTCTTACCCTCCAACAACAACAGACCTGGGAGGGGGCTAGTTGACCATCAGTCAGAAGAAAATGGAGAGCCTATCAGTATAAAATCTCCAGGAGGGGGAGGAATTACTGGGGGGAGTAAGGAGCCAAGAGGGATTTATTAGGAGAAAAATTCTGATTATAACTGCACACATGCGTGCACACACACTAAAAGACGCAGCAGGATTTAACGTCTCAGAGTCCATCCTCCAAAGCAGCCATTTCCTCCAGGGGGGAAGCTGGCTAGACTGCTCGTAGGGCTGCCAACCACCAGGGGTTGCCTGGAGATCTCTGGAGTTACAACTGGTCTCCAGACTACAGAGATCAGCTCTTCTCCAGAGATCTCCAGGCAACCCCTGCTGGTTGGCAGCCCTACGAGCAGTCTAGCCAGCTTCCCCCCCTTTCCCATGCAGCTTTTTTGGTTACCAGGTCCACAGTGACCATCAAAGGCCACAAGGGGGAGAATTTTCCTTTCAGGGTTTAGACCTCAGATCTACTCACAGCTGCCTTTTAAGTGTACGTGTAGCTACGGTTGCAAGTAAATCACTCTTTCCAGGATTCCTGTTTTTACTTTCAGCTCCTGTAATATGTCTGGTTGGCATCTGAGTTTTAGTTTTGCCTCATTAGCTGCAGCTTGATCATTCCCAAAGGAGCAGAGCAGACTTCCTAGTTGATTTTTTGAATGCTACAGCAAGCAATTATTGTTTATTTATTATCAGCAAACATTGTTTACCTCACCTGCAGCCTGTCTTTATTCCAAAGAGATCAGGGTGGCATATAAAGTTATTCTATCCTCCACTTTATCTTCACAGCAACCCTGTGAGGTAGGTCTTTATTTATTTTGAAAAAACTGTGGCATCTCTCCAGGAAACCTGCCCAAGGCAGCTTACAAAACAGAACAGAACACAGGGCTCTAGTCGGGGGGGGGCTCTCAGGGACGGAGCTCCGGAAGAGAACCTCTAGGGGGCGGGGCGGTCACGTGGTGAAGCCCCGCCCCCTTCTTTACCCCGCCCTCTGCTTCGATCCTCATTCCTTTTGGGAATGAGGATGAAGCAGGAGGGTAAGTAGCCGGGCCTTCTGACACACTTCCGGTGATGTCAGGGGGTGTGGCCTTCTGTCACTTCCGGTGATGTCAGGGGGCGTGGCATATGCAAATAAGTTATGCTAATGAGTTATGCTAATGAGCTCCGGCAGCTCTTTTTCTACAACAAGACCCCTGACAGAACATAAAATATTACAAGTATTACCTAAAATACAGAATTAAAAAAACCAACCAGAGCACAGAAAACAAACAGGTGAGGATCTTAAAAGAATAGTTCCCCACCAGAGCTTAAACACAATTGAGCACCTTAAAATCATTGTTTTCAGACTAAAAGCCAGGCGTGGACTGGCCATTACGTGCGTTACGTGCTGTCAAGTCGCTTCCCAGTTATGGCAACCCTATGAATTAATCCTATTGCTTACAGCCATTCTCAGGTCTTGCAAACTGAAGGCTGTGGTTTCCTTGACTGAGTTAATCCATCTCATGTTGGGTCTTCCTTAGGGTTGCCAGCTCTGGGTTGGGAAATATCTGGAGATTTGGGGGGGGAGCCTGGAAAGGGGGAGGTTTGGGGAGAAGGGACCTCGGTAGGGTATACCACCACGGAGACCAGCCTCCAAAGCAGCTGTTTTCTCAGGGGAACTGATCTTTATTGGCTGGAGATCCATTGCAATAGTGTCAGCAAGCTGCCATTCTGTGTTCTGTGACCTCTGTGTACATATCCTTCCCTGTTGCACCCGGCTTGGTTTCTACCATCCTGCTTCTGCGTTGGAATGCAAAAGATAACTGCTGGAGGTTGTGTGGGGGAGAAGGTGCTGTAACGCTTGCCTATTGCTTTTCCCATGACTACTGCACCTGTGTTTTGTCTGATGTTCTGCCTGGTTCCCATGGACTGGGCG